CTCCGGCCCCATTATCCGATTGGCGTCCCCATCTAACCAATCTCTGAAGTTGCACTTACGCCTCTCTGAGAACCCTGAGGCTGCGGCTTCCGGTCTTGCTGGCGTTGGCGTAGCTCTCAATGAGAGAGCTGAGGCCGCCCTCCTAGATTGGATCCCAGTCGATAGTAGGTTGTGCGCAGTAAGACTCAGCGGTTTGTGCAAGGTAAGCAGCCGACGCCACGATAGACCAAGCTTGTTTGACGTATCGGCGTACGCTCCAACAGACTGCAGCCCAGATGCAGTCAAAGATGAATCTTACCACAATCTACACGACCTTTTGCGTAAAGCGACCCGGACTGATATCGTGATTTTAGTACGAGATATGAATGCTAGAGTAGGCCGGTCGATTTCGAGTCAGACGCACCTGGGAGGTCCTTTCGGACTAGATTCCCATCGCTCGGAAAACGGGGAGCGGCTGTTGGCTTTATGTTCCGACCCCCGCCTGTTCCTCGCCAGTACGAACTTCAGACGCTCCAACTGTCGGTACGCCACTTGGCAACCGCTCTCCTCAAGTCAGAGACGGACGCAGATCGACCACAAATGGCAGGGCTGCATTCAAGATTGCCGATCGTACTGGAGCACTCCCCTCAGATCCGACCACGCATTAGTATGAGCTAAGCTGTCCATGTGCTTCGGTGGGTGCCCCAAACGCATGACACAACGACGGGTAGACTGTGATAAGCTATCTAAACCAGCTGGTCCAAGTGTCTTCCAAAACGCAATAGCTGTAAAGCTAGTACCAACCCCGCCCGATGACGTTAACCAGCACTGGTCACTTATCAAGAATGCTATGCATTCTGCTGGCTTAGTTAGTTGTGGTCTGACACGTCGCGCCGTGACACCCTGGATCTCTGCAGTCTTGACGCACGTCGGTCTATTCCGGCCGGCAGCGTGCATAATGAAATACGAATCGTAATGAGACGTGAACTTAACAGAAGCCTAACCAGAAACGGCGAGATTTGGTGGACTCAACGCGCATCAGAGATGGAACGCGCTGCCGCCATGGGTGGTCCCGTGGGCTGTTGTATCTCATCCGGGTCACCGGCAGGAAAGCCTTGGGTATGACCGAAAGGATCTGCGAAGCTGACGCCTGGCCCATGCACAATCAACATCGACATCTTTAACACTGCGAGGAGCACTTCAGAGCACACTTTAGCTGGCCTCCAGCGTCAGCTGCTCAAACAGCGATTCCGACACACTTCCCATGATCTGTCTCAAGAGACCCACCTTCTGACGCGCGAATCCGTAAGGAAATCCAAGTCATACCTCAAGTCGGGTTAGGGCCTATGGCCAGCTTTCGCCACCCTTCGCCGTCTCCAGTGGAGTTCGGCAAAGCTGCCCTATATCCTCATTCCTTTTCAATTTTGTCATCAGGGATGTTCTGCAGAATGCTTTGTCCGGTCTAGCAAACGGTGGAACAGAGTTCTTGATTTAGAATATGCCGACGACATCACCTTGCTTGGTGACAATATACAGGCAGTCCCAAGCGCTTTGAACTGCTTGGCGATCGAGGTATCCAAGTATGGTATGTGCTTTGCACTTTCTTAGCGCAAAGTGTTTTTTCAAGACCGGCAGGAGCCTGTGCCTGCACTCACTCTGTGGTGACCAGTTGGAAGAAGTTGAGAGCTTTAGGTACCTCGGGAGCTTGATCGCAACTGGTGGTGGTGGTAGGGAGGAGATCACATCACGAATAGCGAAATCTAGAGCAGCGGTCAGAACATGACATGGGCTAGAGGCCTGAAGAAGCTGGCTTCAGCTTTGGCTTCGGTTGGTGCAGCCCGCCTTCCAGGCTGGGGTCCAAGGGATGAGGATTGTCGTTGGTTAGAGACGCGGAAAGATATGGCCCAGAATAGAAGTCAGTGTCGCGAATGCTGTACGGTCTGCCTGTCGAAATCCCGTGCCCCGTAAAAAACAATAAACAACGAAAACACAAAAAATATCAAAAAGTGTACGGTGAAGCACAAAACATTTTTTACCCCAGTTATTTTCTATCTTCCCGTATTTAACTGTTTCACCCTCTTTCTACTTCGCTCTGTATCCCAATTCACCTATCTCCTATTATTGTTATTGTTAATATTGTTGTGGCGTTGGCACCATGCTTGTTCACAAGCATTTAGATAGATATACATATATATTTTAATGGTCAACATTTTTTCTATTATCATTGCATTACGGAACACAAGTTCGGAAGTCTATATTGCATGAGCGAAAATCGGTCACCCTAAATGAAAACCGCGTTCCTGATGATGATTGTTTAGGGACAGTTAAACTGACTGATGTACTCCCCTCCCTTTCGTATGTGCTTCTTCTAAGGGTAGCGCATATTCAAGCATATTCAGAACACATTCGGATAAGAGATTTTCACAAGCCAACCGAAGCATGAAATGGAATTCCGTCATCTGGACGAAATGAAACCGCATAATCTTCCTCACGGATGTCTTATTTGCGTCGTTCCGGGAATGGCCCTAAGACAAAACCTACACAAATGATTACTGCTTAAATTGGATGCTTTCGACCTAAACAAACGTGAAACAAAAGCCTATTTTCTGTATCGTTTGCAGCCGTAGTATTCCGGATCGTATTTAAGTTTTAATTCGATTTCTCTCCAGATACTTCTATCCTCTCTCTGCGAGTATTGTTGGAACTGAGTTGGTATGGTCTTCTCTGCGAAAAACACACTTCAACCAAACGTCGTCACATGTTTTCCCCAAACTACCTGGGTATTTTTCCATCATTTCATTCAAACTAGGCTTTCTAAACTACATATGTCTCCCCGGGGAGGAGTAACCTGCTTCATAATGATCATGAAGTGTAATATGATTTTCCTAAGAGACGACCCGGGTGTCACCGGATTTCAGGGGCGCACCTCTGTAGCTTGACACCGCCAAGTGCGGACTGCAAGGAATCAGTGCGTGGGTGAATGGTTGCAGGAGGCTCACAAGGATCCTTTATGCCATTCAACTAGAGTGGATTCAGTCCAGGGACTCATGCATTGCTAGTAGCCAGACAGATTTCTTCTATGACTGTTGGATCATGCAGATCTCGTGCACTCACTCGGTATGAATTGTCTTCGCAAGTCGTTCTCCGTCTTTACGAGGTTTTCAGACACAGATTACCCCCAATTTGGTTTTGACTTCCTGTCGAGTGATGCACCGGTATTTGGCCTCTGATGCATGCCTCAGATTTGAGTAGGCATCAGAAGGGGAGTTGGGTAAGCGATAGAGATCAAAGAGATAGAGGATGCCCCAGGAAGGCAGCTGGCTGCCAGTGCAGGTGTTCTCATACAAAATACTCCTTGAGCATCCAGACATAAGTTCAGATAAAACATCCTAACATTGTCTATCTGCTTGAAATCAGAGGAATCCAGTAAACTGTGATCGAATCCACCCATGCAGTATGCGATAAATTTGACCTGAGATGTGTATGTTTCTACTCTAAGACGGGCAGAACACTGAATAAAAGGCGAAGAACGAGGAAAACTTACCTCGATAGTGTAAAAGTGTGATAGGATCAGATAGGACACTCCAAAAAAGGGAGCTTCTTGCAACTGTTGCAGTAATTGGTCCGCCGGTATGGGTGGAGCCGTATCAGGCCAGTCTACGAAATCCTGGAAAGTTCGATATTTGAAATATGGTCCTACAACGGGGTAGAGACGATGGATGCAGAATAAACAATATTAGGCGAAGCTTCAGGAGCTAACTAGTGTTGTGCAAAAAAAGTACATTGGAAAATGCAGCAGATAGGAGTGAAGGTGAATAAGAAATTTTCATATACCACCATGGGGAACGGAGGGCGACGGTTAACCCGGTAAACGGTTACTTAAACTAAATAATCCCTATGGGTGAGCATTTCTTCGTGTACACTGCATAGCTCATTATCAAACTGAAATCTGGGAACTTGGCCGAATTTCAAAAACCGCACACCTTAAGCAACACGGCATGCCCAGGAAGTTGATCGGATCCACCGAATTCAACCAAAGATAAGCACCCAACTTGGACCATCCATTATTCTACATGAGCAACTTCATCGGCTGTTGTTCTTTTACTGCATACGTTTGTGTGATGAACAGCAGACGAAATGAACTTCCTACTCAAGAAGGCCTACTGTTCAGTGATGGAAACCTGCAACCTAATTCCCGGAATATGAAGTAGCGAATCACATAAGACCCCGGTAGGTTAGACGTGGTATTGAACCGGATGACAGCAAAGCTGCCTGCCAACAAAGTTGGGTGGCGGGACCCGAATCTAGGGTCCAAGACACACTGGTGACAATGACTAAACCAATGCAACACTCGTCCCACCATTCTTATGAAAAACAATGTCATAAAAGTAGCATAATTCGCGGTTAATGCGCTTTTTTCGTTGGAAAAATAAATGCACATACCTCAGATTTTGCTTCACGGGAGGTAATCATATAAAATATTCAACTTGGTCATTTAAACTTTTTTATTTTCGTGCACGTATGTGTTCTTATCGATCAAATGTGTTTTTGGTGAGCTCACACGGTAATCATTTTATAGATCATGACTGAGTGCAAAGAATTATTATCATACGAGAAAATTGATTTTATTAATCTGGGATTTTGAAAATAGAAGTTTTGTTTTCCAGCAACTTCAAAATATCAAAACCTATTGCTGGATTGGTAAAATTTCATCCTTAACTTTCTATGCTCCGGAAGTAAAACAGAAAGTTTTCAATGACATTTCAGGATAGGGCAATGGAACTCAAATGGTAAAAAAAACTTCAACGAAGTTTCGTCAAATATCCACAAACCTTGTTTTTTTTCAATTAGGTCACGTGACGTTTATTTACTTATCGAAGTGACTGTACTCTGTGGGGATTCTAGCCGATTTATTGTACAGATAGAATCAATACGACAATGTTTTGCGCGAGCACACAGACACACACGGTCGGACTCGTAACATACCGTTCTCTTGATCGGAGAAATAGCAGCCAGTCCAAACTATCACGGTAGGAAAACGATCAATAGTGAACTGGACCGGGTATACTATCAGATTCGTTGGTTGATTAAGTGAGGAACAGTTATAAGGTTCGTTAAATTTGTGGTTGGATGAATTGCGCAAAACGGTTGAGTACTGCACTGTGTACAACTGGTGCATCTCTGACATGTGCCACCCATTGAATATCATCCTTGTCACACCTACGTTTTATTCTGCTGAAATTTCGTTATCTTGCAGTTTCTTATGTAGGCCGTCACGAACAGCAATCAATACAAGTGTTGCAGGTTTGAACTGAGTCACGATCACGACGAGACTGCAATTTGACGTAGTGTGCTGGCTTGCATGTTTCCATTATCCTATGAGCGGTACAGAATGGATTCTCGCAGTCGCAGATCTATTCACGACTGAGAGATCAGCGGGTAGAGACCACATAGGGCTCAGCTGCTTCGGGTTAGCTGATTAAACACTTTTGAGCTTGTTTCGATCATTCACATTCGCCCCTGGAGAATTCACTTCAGAAAGAAAATATGGCAGGGAGTCATCTACGGGTGAAAAGAACACGTTAAATGAATCAGGGAGTAGGATATTCGTGGCTGCATTCCGATAATGCGAGAAGTCTTTGTACTTCATTAGACAGACGTCAACCACCCAAGCTGTGCAGCCCGGTCAATTAGGTGTTGTCCCGTTCAAGTTAGGCCTGTATCATTGGGTTTATGGGGCTAATGGCCGATCCCAAGTGCTGAACTGATCGATAATTATTGTACCAGAGTATAAAACACAAAAACCCGCAACCATAAGGTAACTAAAAGTGGCATATCCCTAAAATCTCCCATATGGGTCCTTGGAGAAAAACCATCTATGTCAGTTTGGACTACCATAAAGTACATCATGTCCCCGATTTTCAGGAATCCATTTGAAAAACCTTATCTCATCTGCCGAGCACTTTCCCTGTTCTCAAAACACACGAGAAGTTTCCTGTTTTCAACCCCCCAGACTATTTTATTTATTCTAAGGTAAGCATATCAGAAACCAAATAGACTGATGAAATAAGGATCTCCTCTTGACTTAACCGCGTTCATGCTCCATACGCTCTGCCAGATAGACAAACGAACACTTTTGGTGAGAACCCTCAAAACATTCAATTTAAATATTTCGTATCTCCAAAACACGCACGAAATATTCCAACACAATTACCATCCTATTTCATCATCATCATCGTACAGCAAGATACAGTGAGGTGAACTTCGATTATCACTGTCAATCTCTCAATGTGCACGTAAGTAAGAAAGTACGAAATGGATAGGGTTTGGATTTAATTGGAGAGAGGCAAAGAAAGTGAATCTCTATGGTCAACACACGGAATTCACAACCTAACTGTGCACACATTTTTTCAAGCATTCTGACCTGATAAGAAATAACAACAAAAACGCCACTGCTGTCGGTTGACTGCCATATTATTCAGTGTCTCCCGCCAACCAGTTACCGAGTCTTTTAGACCCTAACCTGGAAGACGGGAGACATCTATTCTACCTAATTTTTCCGTGCATTTCTTCATGCCTCGTTTCCACGTCATCTGTTTACATCCACATGGTTTCCTCCAACCTGGTACAGAAACTGCGAATAAGGCGAGGTGCAGTAGACGATAGCCGGGCATGCGCAATACGTGCCTCCTAACCAGTGAAGCCTACGATCTGAATTCTATGTGATGACGAATTTTCCACCGAGTCAGTACTAAATACGCGACGCCTTATCACAGAGTTGCGTACACGCCCGATCAATCCAACCGCACCGAACTACGTAAACATGGACAGTAGAAGACGTCTATACGATGAATATATGCCAAGCTCAAATTAAGGGTCGCCCGACCTTAGAGAAAAGAAAAATCGTAATTTAGCAGTACTTCATTTGACTGCCTCCGAAAGTCTCAGGAATGATCGCAAAATGTAGAGATTGAGAAAGCCATAGCTAGTTGTATCAGTCGCAACCCTTTCCGTTTAATTACGGGTACGGACCAGCGGGGAGAAGTCGGGAATGACTTGATCAAGGGGTCGGACGTCACATTGATACACAATCAACAAAGCTGTCTAGTGCATTGGATAGTAAATTTCAAGGCACAGCACAAGTGTCCTTCGTCATCATTTGATTTGTCAACTTCACTTGAAGGAGGAATACTCTGCCGGTTGAAATCAGTCACCGCCCCATGCAGAAATGGAGGTCGCTCCGAAGATAAATTACTTCATCCACCTTTAAAAACGGAAGCCCGGTTTCAGGTGTGGAGTTGAATAAACTTCAGTGCATGGTACGGGAAAGTAAACACCAGCATAGGATATGCCAAAGACCCATCAACTAGTGGAAAGTCAATATGTAAGTGTACCATTACGGTTCACTTGACTGTTCAACAAATCAGCCTCAATCGTCCGAAGGTGTGTGGGCTGAGCTATCGTTGCACTAACGCGGGTATGGGCGCCAAACCAGTAAATAACCAAGAGGATTACAGTCCCATAAGCGAGTCCTTCGTTGTTCTACACCAATGTTAGTTAATGGCACTGTGGTCAACTTCAACCCATTATTGAACATACAAAGAAGTGTCGCACGAGTTTACATCACGCAATGCTGAAAACTGATGAGGTCATCCACCCGATTAATAGGTAACTTTCTAAGAGAACACCACCTCTTTAGCAGATAGTAACAGGAACAAGTTACCAAAATATATTGTGATCAAATCAGAGGTCTTAGGTGAAAACCTCTGACCGAATTCACGACGGTTAAAAGGGACCAGTGTGGCTTTTAACATAATTCATACATCGCCAAAGAAGTATAGCCTAGTGATGCAGAGATTCCAACATACGTAAAAACAATCGCTATGAGAGAAAGAGTGGACAATAAAACGATAGTTATATCACTGAGACATTCATTTGCATTTGCATAGCTTAACCATGTAAGCCAAAATAAAGGGAATTCGAGCATCTCGCTTGAGAAAAGGGAAGAAAAGACATTATCTGATCAGATTAGTGACCATGTCAACTTGAAGAGAGCAACTCACCAGTAAAAAGACCAATGTAGCAGTAAGCGTAACAAATCAGGCCCAACGGTGAAACATTAACATTTTTCATCTCTTTCACTAACTGTAAACGCTCTCGTTCTGCTGAGTTGATTTGTTTGCTGTCATTTTCTGATAACTTTTGATCGACACTCCAAGAGTCCACAATTTCAAATGCAACCCCGATGAGCTAAACAAACGCATCGGAGAAGTTTGAAAAAATTTGATCGTTTCTTACTCGAAGCGTGATAAGCAGTTGCACTGCATTGGCCACGGGAGGATTGGGAGCAAATCCAAAATGATGACAGGTACGAAAAAAACCCAGATAACCGAAACACCATAGAACGGCAACATAGTGGATAAATCTGCATCAAGCGGATTAAATGACTAGTATACGCATGGCACTCACCTGGGTGAGCATATAGCCATTATAACGATGAAACCAAAAACAGTTGCTATGGAATGCCAAATAGTGAGTCCAGTGGCGGCAAAAGCCATGAAAAAACCCAAAAGTGACGACAGAACTGATCTCAGTTTCCTGCTTTGTCGCATTAGAGGACCCAAACATAGCGACAAAAGCAGGAGACAGGCGTAGACCCAGTCGTCAAACGTCATGGTTTAACGTGACATTTCTTGGAGGCTACAAGACACAATGCGGCACGGTATAAGCACTGGGTAAAAGCGAAGCTAATGTGTTTTTCAAGAAACAGACAGCTTCAACTTCATGGAATTGCGTGATTTTGAGTTTGGTCAGCCAGCGAAACCGATCCAGGAATCCAGTAAAAGTTAACAGGGAACTATACAAAACAGATAAAATAACACCACTAGGAAGATTAAAAGCAAGGATAAAAGTTAACATTCAGGAAACAGTAAAAAAAAACATTATAGGGAACGCCCCAGAATTTGCAGACCAATTCTTGCATACAGAAATCTGGAATTTGGATCGTTCAGAGAAATGCGAAATGAAAAGGATATACTTCTACGTAATACAGGCCGTTCAACATTTTACAGCGCCGCTCCTTG